GGAGTAGACTCGAGCTGCTCATACACTCTACTTCCCCTACATTTTTAAGCAACTACTCCCACTCATAAGCAATCCCTTTGATACTTTTCGATGAAACCTGCCCTGACCGCAGCCTCCCTCAAACTTGACGGAAGAATTTAGGCTCACAATTTCGACAGCAAAACGTTTCTTTAGATCTTTGTGAGATGACGAAGGCGATCGGCTACCCGCGCATACTCTCACTCGAGAACTTCCGGACGCCAAACTTCCGCCTCGTCGCTGAACTACTGGAATGGATCGTAAAGCGGTGAGTATAGCAGTAGTTTGGAAAGCGAGAATCTTCACTGTATGAAATTTGCAAAAGCAGATTCGACCCGAGTGCAACGCTTAGTGCCGAGCATACAACTACCGAACAAGAGCGAGTACTGTTCATCAAGCAAGCCGTGCTGCTTCTTCTACAGAACTCCCGGCTCAGACTGAACCCACGACGGCTCTATCAGGTGGGTTTGAACAGTGAGCTTGAGATAACACACTAGGAATACATATTCTCTAACAGAAAGAAAGAGGCAATACTTCAACAATAATATTTGACAGAAGGGAAGGATTGATCCAGGATTTAGGCCTCTACGGGGCCACGGCGAATATGCAGAGAGTGTAAATGCACTTCCTGGCTGACTGAGCAATTTAGTGGACAACTGACTCCGAGCTTAAAAAAGGCTAGACAGGCAGGCTGTCCACGCTCTACATTTTTCAATCACTAATGCAGTCGGCTACACTTACTCGGCCTCTTCCTGATAGCGCGTGCATGCGAAAGAAGATGCTGAGTGAATGCTCGGGTGATTAGCGTTCACTCCTACGTGACCATGTCAGCGAGTGGGACGGAAGGTGCAAGCACTCTTACCATGTTTTGCGTTACGCTGTCAGAAAAGTTCGTGCGCTTTTTTTTTGTAAAATTTTCTCAAGTGATGTCGTGCTAAAGCCAATTCGTGAAGTACCTTCCGTCCTTCTCAACTAAACCCATCGTGAGGACTCATCCTCCTATCCATGGATCAACAGACCACTTCAGTTTATCACCCTCTGATGTCCATTGAATTACCGCACGAATTTAAGCATCCCTTGATTGTAAATCTCATCCTTGGAATACCCACGAATTTATAGGAATCGTCACGGATCTGTTGCATGGCCTACCCAAACAGACATATGTCAGTTTGTGATCACAACAAAGCAAAGTTTCACGCCCAAAATTCAGTTTCCGAGATAAACAATCTTCCAAAACCTCATTTCTCGACAATTGGACGGTAACACGTCCGCCGGCACGGTCAAACCGAAAGGCTTGGCGTTCAGCGTTCGCAGGGATCTCTGCCACTCTCGCAACATGCACAACTTCACAGGGTCCCTGCTTTCTTTGAATTCCTTGGAAAGCTAAGTCCAGCCAACAAATATGTCTACAGCGTTCGAATACCTAATACCCTCCCTTCAAACAGCGAGAGTGTCGTTGCAAGACATGCCCAAAATGACGACGCCCACAAAACTGTTTAATAATTTCTGCCAATGAAAATGTTAGCTGTGCAGTGCTTCTATCGATTGTCACTAATTACAACTATCATTAACCAGAAATCAGCTATCACTATGAAGAACTTTCAAACAGATTGACTTGGGGGCCGTCGTCAGTTGTGGTGTTTGTTCTGGACCCGACATTTTCTCGCTTTTTGAAGGGGAGGTTATGTGCTTTTCTGTCTGGACTCTCACGCGCTGGCTGACCACTGCCCCTTAACTCAATGAAAGAATCGGGTTGCAGCGTAGGATTTCGAGAAGTATGGCCAAAATCGATCGATGGACTCAGTGTAAGTGTGAAATGCAATGCAATAAGTCAAAAGGCCAGAAAGTTTCTAGTGAAGGCACTCCAAGAACCAAGTGGAAGCATCCCCGTCGCCAGCATTTGTGACAGATGTCCGGCGGTGCTTTGAACGCGTAGCAGCCCTTTCGTTTTTCGAATTTTTTTACCAAAACAAATGCAATTTTCTGTTCTTTTCGTTCTGATGGGTACCCCTGGGCAGGGTCAACCCTATCGTTGTTACTCTTTGGAAATTTTTACGACCCCCCCCCCTTCATGGGTGATTTGATACGACCCCCCTTGTATGTGACACTTGTGTAGAGACAGTGTTTACCATCAATATTTATTTCTACGTAAGTCATCAAAGATGAAACTTTAGCAAAATCCACGACAGATATTCATCGCTGCTTCCAAACACGAAAAAATGAGATGCATTCAAAGATATCCGTGTTCCAAAGGGTTACCACCAGGAGATGAAATAAACTGAACCAGTGACCGGAATATTGACAATATTACCTGATAAAAACTTATGAAGTCAGAAAAAATTATCGCTCCAATTGAAATACTGAAATCCTTCACGTTCTTCAATTGCAACACAATTTTTACACCCCTCTTTCTAAGGCTATAACTTCCTTCATATTCGAGCTTCTGCGCCGAAGTGATTTGATTTGGAAAATTCAAATTATTCTCTCTCCAACCATGGTAAAAATTCTTCGAAAGTTAATTTAATAAAAATTTAGTACGTTGTTACTTTTTTCTGTGCAAAGCGACTTTTTGACCTTCAAACGATCATAACTTCCTTCAAAGTCATTCATTTGAGGAAGCTGAACACGTATAATAAACTACAGGATTCAAGCTTTCTAACGAGCACCCAAGCGTTCCTGAAAGATCAGTAGTTCAAAAATTAGTCCCGTTGTTACTTTTTTGGGGGTTTGCGTTACTATTTTTTTGGAACCGCGACTTTTTGACCTTCAAACGATCATAACTTCCTTCAAAGTCATTCATTTGGGAAGCTGAACACGGTATAATAACTACAGATTCAAGCTTCTCTAAGAGCACCCAAACGTTCCTGAAAGATCAGCAGTTCAAAAATTAGTCCCGTTGTTACTTTTTATTTTGAGGGGTATTCTTCAAGCCATTTTCTCGAAAACGCGAGTTTTCTTAGGTTTCACTGCCCGTAACTTCTTGGAAGACCAATTTCATGTTTAATTAGGATGTGCTAGAAAGCTTCGAGCATGCGCTTGCACTACATCCCTTGCCTTGGTGCGCGCCACGCCTCGGGCGCCCTTCTAATTCGCTGATTCATTTGAAAGCTCATTTAGAGGGAATCGTGGTTTATAGATGCTGCTGTATCAGTCATCTTACGAAAACGTAACGTGCTGGCTATTATCCGATATTACCAAGAATCCCACTGTCGGCCACCGAGAGGGTACGACCCCCCTCCCTCCAAGCTCAACTGAGTACGACCCCCCGTTGTTACTCGTAACAACGTAGGGTTGACCCTGGTGCCGCCAGTGAATTATGGTGCGCTATAGAATCACGATCTTTCCGGGAAAGGATCCTTCAAGGCAACCATGCATCTCATCGCCATTTTCTGAAGAAACACATAAGCACATTGGGCAGCAACAGAATACGATAGTACTTTGAGGATGCTAAATAAAGGAAAACGGTGGAAGAAAAACGTGTGATATGGGATTACTTGGGCATGGTCGATCCGAAACACACCAGGTGTACTTTGACCCGAAACTGTAGGTCCCGAGCAATTGATATTGGGTGCTATCGCAAAGAGGCAGTGGAGGAGGGAGTGTTGCGCTGCACGGTTGCGCAAAACGCAGCAAATCATTTTAGGTAATTAGGTCAACTCATCTTACATAGAGGACCAGAGAAACCCCGGGTCGTAGCGAATTCTAATTTTTTCGGTGGAAAAATTCCGTACCCTATTTCAACCTAGTAACTCATCTTAAGATATTGTCAACTTCTTGTTCCCAACCATTCTCCTAGAGACAGTTTCTGCCTTGTTCAATCGCAGGACTGACCGAAACCTATTGCCGAGTCGGCACCGAAATATTCTTCAATCGACCAAGCCCTGTATCGTTTCAGCATCCTCTTTTCTATACGCCATAATATTGTTTTTTTTTTTTTTTTTTTTTTTTAAAAGCCGAATTGATTGCATCTGCCGCCGTAAATTTATCGCAAAACACACATCATTAAAGAGTCCTTGTCTCGGGTGTGTGGTTGTCTTTGGTGTTGCCTTAAGTAATCAAAAAAGTCCGTGCAATCGCACATATGTCACTATCGCTGACGACACGTTGCCAAGAATATATGTGTTCATTATCTTATCTTTCACAACTTTTCGATTTTTGCGAAATCATCTGTTCTTAGTGCTGTTGACATTGAACAAATATATGGATCACCGTAACCAAAGAAACGTTGCTTTTCAGCAGATCAATCGGGGTGTAATTTTTTAGCATTCCTGAGCCCCTGATATGAATGTAAATCGTATAACTTCGTTGTTTGTATGTTAAACTGTGTTTTTGCCGCCGTTCGCATTGCGAATTTTGCAAAAGCTGGGTTGTGACAAAACTTTTCGCCCCAGCGAAACTCAAATAAGTCCGTTTCGAATAGGTTTGTATCATAGAACGCACCCACTTTTTCATTGCTTCGACGCCAACAGAGGCAGAATGGTAGTCTCTCTGTGCCTAGTCTGCAGAGCGTATCAGGGGGGAGGGGAGTGTCTATAGAATGTCGATGCATCTATGACGCTTAATCCTAATCTTGGGCGAGCCCTTGCCAAACAAACAAAGCTTGGCCATGATCCCGAACATAGACGGCGAGCCTAACGTTTGCCTGCATTTTGTTCTTCATACCAGGCAGTTGTCTCAGAGCTCCCTGTAACGAACATTACAGCTAGCTAACTCTGAAGCTCCCTCTCAGAATAAGGTGCAACAAGCAACCTTCCCCATCACCAAATAATGGCCTTAACGCACCAGAAAGTGCCGCCACGCCCAGGTACAAGGATTCGGCAACGTCGATAGCTTATTTCGCTATGCCCCCACCCCTCCGAAAGTGGGTGCGTGGCTGGCATAAACGTGTGAAAATAGCTAGGTTGATTGCCGTGTCAACCGATGGAACGGCTGGCATATCCGGAAAACTCGTTTGGACGTGCATCTCTCCCAAGCCAGCCTCCTTCACTGCTAGTGGAGCGGGGGTTTCCGTTTTAGGTCCTTGTCGACGGTTTCTTTTCGTTTTCCTCCACTATTGTTCATCGCACTCTAATACGTCAATACAGTCGCCATAATACTCCATGTTGAGCCTGGCCTTTGCCTTTAAGCAATCAAACTGTGAGAAGTATGGAGAACGGCCGGCGCCTGCATGTATGCCAAAAAAAATCAAAATTTGCAAAGGATAAGCTTGTACCTGCGCAGTGCGTGTCTGCAGGAAATTGGTCCAAGTGTAAGGTGCTGAGTGAATCGACGTACTAACCCACTGAGCACGCAAAAAAGGAATGAGTGAGAAATGCTCATTATCGAGCACATTCGATGATAAGGTTGTAGCCTCGCAGCATTACGATGTATGAGCTGGCGATATCTAGATAGATTGATTTTACGCGCATCCTATGATTCTCTTTTCATTTGTTAAATCCATACGCTGACGAATCAGTTCGAGATATGAAGGAACCAGTGCATCCAAGCAAGGACCGACATTATTTCTGAAACATCTTTTGCACTTCCTGTCTTTTAAGGAAGGCTCACTGTAGTCTTGTTATTGAGCAACCTGAGATCTAGTAATGCTCTGTTGCATGGACATTGTAGTAAGATCACAATGCCTAGCCCATTCCTACGTAGGGCTCGTGTAAGTCCGCCGCCTTGTTAGCGGAAGGCGAGCCACTAAAAAAACGGAGGTCGAATTACTGAAAAAAAAACTTCTGGACAGGGATCAAAACGCCGAGAAGGACAGGACACAACTTTTATCCCACAAATCTCCTTTACTTACACGGAAACTTCCCTTCAATACAGTGATTGTGAAATGTGTTGTGTTTGGATTTGAGTATTCGTTTAAGCTTCTGTTTTCTTTTCGCTACAGAATTCTGAAAAACCAGGGTGAAAGAGAGCTGCTGGTTTCGCGCATTTATAATTCACGTTGAAAACAGGTGGGCTGATATTACTCTACAATGCAGCAGTCCACGCTGCGGGGTGTCTGCGTCTCGCTCGTCGCCATGCTCACTTGCCTCTACTCTTTCCTCAGAGCCTGATGTGTCTTCGTCTAGCACTGTACACCACATAAACAAATGTTGTGATCTCTATTCTGTTTTTCTTCACTGGTGGTGCCCCTCGAATGTGTACATTCTTGACAGGTTAGGAAGATAGGTCAAGATCAAGCATTTGGAGACAAATCTAAGGCTCAGGAACCTGTTCACATAATATCCTTTCTTTGTAAGTCATAACATTCTTCCAGGCAGATGGCAATGCCGTGCAGGAGCTGCTCCCAGCGGTGAAGCTTCTTTATGAAGCTGGGAAACAACTTCCTGCCGACGATGTGAACGCCCATTGGAATGCCATCAAGACTAAGCTGACGCAAAGTAGTTTAAGGCTCGTTTAATCAAGTGATTTCTACGTTAATTTCGAGGACATCTTCTCGGTTTAAGGATTTTTGTCCCCCCCCCCCATCAGACTAGAACGAACGTATAATGTATGCTATACGAAGTTTATCCAGTGATTTCTGACGTATTCGAGGACATCTTCTCGGTAAGGATTTTGTCTATATAAAAATCCATGCTATGCAATTATAGATGCAAGAAATCCGTATCGCTAGACAACTCTCTACTCAACTGCCCCAAACAGGAGCTGCACTTCACGATTTACTGGGGAAGGAGCTCTACTGTAGGGTAAGCTGTTCTCATCTCGAATATTGCGAATTTTTCCCTATAGCCACTGATATTCTCGCTTTTGGATAAGCTGAGGCAACTATCGTACATTCAGAATTATCATAAAAAATTTGAACTGACGGAACAAGTTATAGGATCTTACTAATTGTCCATGTTTTTTCTGCTGCCACTTAGTCTCCCTCATTTTAGCATTTGTCGATTGTTTTGTATATTTTTGCGAACATTGCTTTCAACGACGCTCTCCTATTATTATACAAAAGAAATGTCGTAAACAGAACTTCTCAAACAATTTCTCATGGGAGTTGATGAGAATTTCTCGCCGCCTTTTTGTTTCCAACTTTTTGATCTAGTTGTCGAAGTCTTATTTATTTATTTCGTCGAAATGTGGCATAAATAATGATTCCACTATGATTGAAGAGGGGAAACTATGCCAAGTCGAAAGGCAGGCAGGCGGGCCTTAAGAGTGCAGGATGTGCGCATTTCGCGGCGAGGAGATCCCAGGAGTCTAGCAGGGCCACACCCACCGCGGCGAGCCACTCCCTCGCGTTGACTCTAGCGATAGGTAGTGACGCTGTAGCTAGGAAGAAGACACCAGCGATTGAGTCACATCAATGCGAATAATTGAGCAGAGTGGAAAATTCCATTAAGATAGCAATTTCGATACTCATGAATTACAATTCTGCTTCTGTTCAGAAAGGTTTTTTTATGAATGTCGTGATTTGTAGGTTTACTGCTTCTAATAGGCGCCCAGTTTTTACCCCGCACACGTTCTAAACAACAATAGTAAGATATGGGATGAAATTGGATAGATACCAATTCCATTATAATAAACCAACTTTGGTGTGGTGTCGGTTTCGGTTGTGTGTTTCGTTTGGTTCACGTCAGGAACGAGCGCTTTCAAAACCAGGGAGTACGAGGGCAACACTTGTGTGATGTTGATGTCATGATCATGATAAACCCACAGCGGCTATATAAACACCGATCGAGCACACTCAGTCTCATTCTACATGGTGCTGCCGTGGCAGCCGGATGAGCGGGGGGAGGGTGGAGAGGGGTAGAGGGAAGGGGGCAGGAAAGGGGAGAAGCTGAAGGGAGGGAGGGGGAGAGAGAAAGAGGGAGGGAAGGGGAGAGGAGAAAGGGAGCGAGAACATGGCGCTGCTATGCGCCGGAGAGAAAGGGTATAAGGAGGTATAACACATTCAATAGTGAGGTGCTTAATCGAGTACGTCATGCTGCTGTTCCGTAGTTCCTCTCTATCCTGTGATGCGCGCAATAGCGGCAGAGCAAACCTGGTGTATACATATTTGTAAACTCACTCGGAACATCGGCCGGAGTTTAAGGGTTTTGCCAGTAGCAGACACAGGGGAGATTAACACATTCACGATGGCGCCCTTTTCCACTTTCGGTCGCGTGGAGACGGATGCGATTTTGTGGGTGCTGCCGCCCAACCTCACATCCGCGGATTTTGTACTGTAAATAAACAAAAACTGAACGTCACAAAATAATTTCGCATTGTCCAACTTAACCACTATCTTTTCCATTCGAGGCGCGGCAAGTTATTATCAGTGGCGTCCATATGGGCTTCATGCGTCAGAAGCACCAATTTTCTTGGCAGGCCCTAGGGCTGCGCCGGCCAGCTCACCATTCCCCCTGTGAATGTGTTGAGATCGTTGGCTGATTTTCAATAACATTTACGTACATTACTTTTTTTCCAAGTCCATTACAGGAGCAAACGCCAGTCGTTGCAGTTTCGAGTGGCGATTCATGGCTGAGCAGGACACTATCAGCAGTCATATAGAGGCAGATTGTAGCTAGACACCGGGTGGGACATTACGGTTAAGGTAGCGTCCCGTATTTCTTTTTTAAATCTGTGTTATTGACGTAAACTTCCAAGTTACGCTAAATCGCCTTATAGTTCCAACCTTTCACTGGCTGAGAGTGATCCCACTTGATCCTTGTGTAAAGGTGTTGTTTCCAGAACAAACTCGCGAATGTTGCCAACGATTGAGTCTGCCTTGGACGAGAAAATCGAGCGAAAAAGAGGGAATATGAGCAAATGCAGAAACGTTTCGTGAAGCTTCAGGCATGTTGAGCAGATCGATTCTTTATCAGCCGTTGATCACTATTTTCACAAGATTTCAGTCATTTCGACCACAGTACATGGACGAATACGAGAAGCTCGAAGCGAAGCTCAAGCAACTCTACGAGGTTACCCTGACTTCTCACTATCTGTCTTATTCGCTTCCCTTCCGCAACTGAAAAAGAGCTGTTTAGGTGTACGTAGTGAAATTTCGGAATTTGGCATACCTTCAACAATTGCAGCTTGAGATCGAGAGAACCGACCGACAGAAGCAGGTAACAACCTAAGCTGACGTAGAGAGGGGAGGAGGGGAGGAGGAAAACCAACAAAAGTATGTATTCGTTCATCTCAGGAGGAATCGGAGCGCACAATGAGGCAGGTGGTGGAGAAGATGCGCATGGAACTTAACAACCAGTCAGTTTGGCTAATTGTCAGAGGGATTTTTCTGATTACTCATATGTTTGCGCGTATCCTTCTGAAAAGTTCTACCACATTAATCCTTCTCATTCAGAGAAGAACTAATGGAGGAGGAAGTGCCGCCAATGAACCCCGCTAGGCGAAATTGTAAGTTGGGTTCGTACTCGGCACACATAATCATGCAAATTTGGGTTCAGCGGAGAGGAAAGTATACGGTAACATGACTGGAGCTGGAATGTCGGACGACGACGACGATAATGAAGAAGTCGATGCAGCTGCAATGCAGACTGACAGTGAGGAAGAACAGCACAAGGTAAGTCACACTTCCTTCCACTTTCTTGTTCGATCGCTTATCAGACGGCCATGTCCTTGCAGCCTCATGACGACGATCATGACAAGCTCGATCTTAGCAGCGGTGACGACTTTTAAGACGAAATATGGAAGTGCGCCACTCCTTGTTTCTTATCGGATCTCAATTTAAAACATTTCTTGTTTTTGTTTCTCGATTCAGCTTTACACATGAAGGAATGCTGAGTTGTGAGCAGTTTACCTTGGCCGCAGCTCGAACCTTGCCCAACTCCTCAGCAGTTCACTGTGCGCGGATTATTCAATCAATCCTATACCGTCATACGTGTTGTGTGCTAAATCATGGTTAACCCAGTACTGATCGTGAAGTCCATGAAAACCTCACAAAACCTATGAAGGTCCGAAAACGGAGACTTGATTCCGACTCCCCGCTCAGAACTAACATCGCACAATAAGTAATCTTCTGTGATGTTTACAACATTACGTTCATTCCGATATTTACAACCCTCCTATTATATAAACTGCTGTGTACATAACTTGGTGTGCAGGTACAGGTGCGGCAAAAATAGTGTGTCGATATTTAACAAAGGAATGAGCAAGGGTTTCATGTTAATGGATAATGGGAAAGAAATGGTCTAAATGCACTTTCATTCTTGATGCGGTTTCCTTCAACCACAGCCGAAATCATTTGGGAACAGCATGTATTTTGTTCGCCAAGGAGTCATCGTCTAATTCGGATATTTCCTGTGGGAGCCGCACGGGCTGGTTATCTTCTAGATCTTGTGCTGAACAGTAGACGCCATTTCTACTCGGTCGTGCTCGACGAGTTGTCTCAAGTCGGCTTCGTTGCTGTTGTGGTAGAAATCGATCAGCAAACAATCTCAGTGGTGGGGCTATCTGTACGGTAACTCGTCTCGTGTTGATAAGTCGTTTCAGTTTAGTATGTCTTCCAGCAGACCCATCCGATTAGTAAAGCCCAGTCCATGTGGTTTTAAAAGTATAAAGACACTACAATTTCAGCAATAATAAGGTAACTAAAGGCAGGCTTCGTGCAAGTGACACCCTCTCTCAATCATTTCTCAGTGTAAAAGAATTTTGAATTGAATTTCCAAAAGTATGTGGACACTTAAACGAGGTCACATTTTGACGCCGAAATTTTCACCCGTATTCTTAATTTGCTGATTTCATTTCTTCATCATGCCATTTGTGGCATCTTCTTCCTGAAGACGAGTAAGCTCAGATCAGGCTCTGCATGATACTGGACGTTCTAATCCAGAAATCACACGAGAACTTGGTCGTTTTCTTCATGCATTGGAAGATTCGTCCGGCACCCTGATATTCATACTCAGCACACACTCCGCGCTATCCACGATCCTTGACTGCTCAGAACAGCAAAAGAGTAGCCCACATCCTGTCGGATTCTTCATTGACAGTCCGAGCTCAGATTTTTATTCCAGCCTCGAAAATGACCACTAAGCCCCTCATCCGCTCAAATGAATACACCACTCGACAGACGCTGAGAAAGGCTACTCACTTCAAGGCCCAGCACAAGTTAGCCACATTGGAGTCTGCTCGTAAAGACATGGCAACATAGGATAGGACACGGATAGGATACGGTTTTTCCGAGAATTTTTTTTTTATTTTTCAAACGAGGGCACGCTTTTATATGCACTTTTCATCTCAGGTAATCTCAATCATGGAAGAGTTTGATCTTGACGGCCGGACGGATTTTTGGCACTATATTACTATTACCCCAAAATCTCAAAATTTTATTTTTCGTCGAACTTCGTCTATAGGGGTAATTCGGTGCCCTGAGTACGAAAATGACATCTTCATTTTCAACGGGAGCGCCAGGTGGCGTCACCTTGTCACGACAGTTGTTTTCACCAAACTCGATGTAAACTCTTCTGTAGTGGTAATTGTGTTCAGATCATGAATTTATGACTTCATATCTAGGCCGTAGCTGTCCCAATGTTTTTTTGTCTGCTTTAATTTTTCGTCTCTGCGCTCCTCAGTGACCTAGATCGCGATCAGGACTAAGCTTTAGGAGAGAGGAAAGATATCAGTGAGTGAGCCCTCTACCACGTGATCTCACACGCTCCATCTTCGTCACACGGTGCCTGATTCACTCATTCCGAGTCTCCCTATCCCCTAAGCTTAGTCCCAAGGCGCTATGTATAGGTGAGAGAGCCCAGAAAAGCGGGAATTATGCGGTAAACAGCGGTAATGTCAAAAACGAATGTCATATTCGTGATCAGGACATCAAATAACCCCTATACAGAACTTATAACTTACTATATTGTATGCTATACGACCAACTTTACACCGAATGTTGGTGAAAATGGTGGTGACCAAGGCGGCCAGATGGCGCCACCGCCAAAAATGAATGTCATTTTCGTAATCAGGGCACCGAATTACCCCTATAGAGGAAGTTTCGACGAAAAATAAAATTTTGAGATTTTGGGGTTGTAATAGTTGAATAGTGCCCATTTTTCTTTGAAACTTATAAATTCGCGTATATACCTCTTCGTGTTCTCGAGATGGAATTTCGGAGGAGGCCCGTTGATGAGTCTGCGCAAGCGCGGGAAATTGGAAGTTGCCGCTCCATTATTACGTGTTAACAGTGGATGAATACAAAGCAGTGCTCTCAATATCTCCTGTTAGCCGTTCTCTGGATGGAGCGGCAGGAAAGTGTATATTTTAGTGATTAGGACAGCGTCCAGTCGTATCCCGGTCATCTACCAAAGAGTGGCTCACACTGAAGTGCTGTTTGAAACGGCTAGATTGCTTGTGTGTCTCTTTTACGCGGCTGTCCGGAACCTTTGTAGGAGTTCACTCTAATAACGGCAGTATAAAACCGCGGATGAACTGAAGGCGGCGGTAGAGGCTATTTGGGCCGATCAGCGACGAACCAGCTGGCAAACGTGGTTCAGATTATGCCAGGACAGGATGTTTGAGCTAATTAGAAACTCTGGAGGCCCCACTGGTTTCTAATCTCTCGGTTATGTTTTTGTGCCTTTGTTAAAGTGTCCACATACTTTTGAAACAAGAAGAAAATTTCATCCAAAAACTTTTTTTTATACTATATTGGCCAGTGCGATTATTATCTGCTAAATACTCTGTTATAAGTATATCACTACGGGTGAACTTATTGAGGGCGGGTTCCTAGCAAGCACTCTTTAGGTTACTCTTTTTATCGTGATTGTGAGGTGTTCCCATGACTTTTGAAACGCGCTGTAGTGTCCATAATGGCCTTTGCGGCGTCAACATCTTCGCGATCAATGGCTTCACTTTTTTCGCTCTAGCTCACATACGGTCGACCAATCCATTTGGATTGACTTAAAGCCACCAAAGTCAGGATAAGGTGCTCATAGAAAGCCTTTCCATCACAAATATGGCCTGGACTGCCCTCACAAGGGCGATTTGGATAACGACACCTACGTGTAACAGCAGATGCTCTACCTCACCTTTTCCGTCAGTATATTCGGACCAAAGGCAACCGTATAAATCTTAGAGAACATTGAAGTTTGATTACTAACCAACTTCACTTGGTATTCACCACAGGGTCAACCGTCACGTTCGAACATTTTCGGGATTTTTGCGACCCCCTAGCTCTCGAGGGGGTCCAGTTGCGACCCCTGTTTTTGTTAATAAGAGTGCTAGACATGAATCCGTTGCGCCAGAAAGCGTCTGCGCGTCGTCGCGTCGGCCTTGGAGCGCGGCAGGTATCACCCGGGCGCTGGAAGAACGGGACGCGGCGAAGAAAAAATTTTAGAGGGAATAACTTTCTTGGGACGTATTTTTTTGACTTGTTGAGGTAGATTTTGATTGTGCCTGAGGTGCGCTTCCAGAAAACTACAAGGATTGCCTAACTCTCCGGAAAGTACTTCTGTTAGAAGTGGAAAACCCAAAATTCTAAGAAGGCACCTTCAACTTTGAAGGCCCATAAAATCTTTCGTATGCGACATTTTGGAAATCTGTAAAAAGTTTCAGAAACTTCAAATATTTCTCTAACAAACAGTATAAAAAGTTTAGTGATTGTCCCCTTTTTCAAAAATTGTCCCGTTCGAACATTTTTCGTGCAAAAGCGAGTTTTTGGGCTTTCAGCGACCATAACTCACTTCATTTTCATTTCTGTGATGCACTTTTTTCATGGGGTGAAAGTACAGGATTTGCTCTTTCTAACAAGCACCAAACCGTTTTTCAAAATCCATTTTCCGAGAAAATCACACGTTCGAACATTTTGTTCCCATAGGTTTTTGAGCAGCACATGCGAGTTTTTGAGCTTTCAGCAATAATAACTTCCTTCAAAGAACTTGTTGGGGAGGGGCGAAGACATTTTTGAAGACTACGAGATTTCTGCTTTCTTATATGTTTTACCGTTGTCTGGAAGAATCGTCCTCAGAAAATAGGTCCTCGAAGAACTCTAATTTCAGCCTCCAGAGTAACACTTTCTAGGATGGCATCCACTGTTACGATTCCTCAGAAACCCGTAATTTCCTAACTTGTCTCTCTGCATAATTAATACGAATTAATGCGTCTTGCCGAGCAAGTCTTAAGCCTCGATACGCCCGCAGCGCACTGTGGCTGCAGTCCTCGAATTGGACCTGTTCCGACAAAGGCCTCTTCGTCCGCATTGAACGGTACGGTTGACGCCTGAGTGAGAGTCTGAGTGTGGATAAAGAGACTAGGAGGCGAGGTAGTGCCACAGATCAGAGGGCGCATACAACAGCTCGCTGTGGACGGGAAGCATAGCTGCTGTAGCTACTTTTGCAACTCTAGCCCCCCTCGCCCTCTCCTTGTGGGTCGTTTTCGTTTATTACTATAAATCCTTCATCTGCAAAACATATGTTGCTTACCTTAGGGTTTGTTGTCGTAGTGGAGTGAAGCACAACGGATGTGTTGCTAACTTACATACTGGGGAGTCGAAGTCTCCGCCGTTGCGGTGGACAATGGCTAATATGCTAAGAACAACGTTCCCTCAATGAACGCGTGAATTCTCTCCCGGCGGAAATCTACCCAGTTTCGTTTTCAGCCAATATAACTCATTATTCATTTGCTGCACCAAGATCATCAGTAATCTAGTGATGAAAATGGTGCTCTGCTGGCTGTTTAAAAAACTTGGACCAAGCTGGTATGGCACTTGTTATATTCTTCCTCATAATGCTGATTATCTGGAAGACGATAGTTATCATTATTGGATGTGTATGAAACAAAAGCCAAGTCTCGGTCCGGTTGCGTGAATCAATATGGTACGTGAAAGCAGGTAAGTTTGTTGAATTGTTCAATTTCCACCCGCTGTGGTTGGTTGATTTGGAAACGTCCTTGAGATTTATCTGTGGGATTCATCATAAGTGAACGTAAAGCAGAGATGACGCGCTGCCTCAGCGCTTGGCGTCGGCCCAGCGTTGGCCTTCTCACTCCCTTGATATGTACTTATCCACTAGCGTCAAAAGATGTTCTCCGGAATGATTTTCAGTGCATTGTTTTCTCTCACTCGAAGTAGGCCCTCCAAAGATTGATGTACTATGTTACCTATCTTTTTATATCTTCAAGACTCATGGAATCAGGATATTCAAAGAAAATTTCGAGGCCATCACTGGTTTTCTCTGGCAAACAAAGTAACGCACGAAAAACCGTTTTAGCGAACACTTGACCGCTACTGTATGTACAAAAAGTTGCGAATCTACTCCCTGTTTTCTTCAATAACGTTCAACATATTCACATGATGTGTCTATCACCGAGATCAATTTATCGATTAAATAACACAAGATCAGATATAAGCAATTAGTATTCGCGGAATGGCACAGAAGGAAATGAACTGATGTACAAGTATTAGTATGGTTCCACAGGATGTGTAGCGCGTGCTCCAGCCGCATGTATACACGATAAAATTAAAACAAAAGTTACCGTACCGATTCGTGACGCAACGCGTATAATTGACTGATCAATTTTAGCATGAACGGCCCTGTTTCGAGTTATCGCCGACACGTTGCACATATGTGACCTATAGATATTTGGATGGTTTCTCGTAATAATTGTCCACCGGTTTCAACTGCTGCGTTCATTTCTTGGGCGAATCAACACTCCTTTTCATACAAATTTATGAGTAACTGTAAGGCAAATGATATGAAAATGTTCAGGCCTCGCGTGAGCGAATGACCTGCACCCGTTTATTGTGTTTATCCACTAAACACTTGCTTCAAAGGTGAAGAAGTGCCCTTATTCTGAAGGTAAACCACAGAGGCGAGCAAAGCGGCGATTGAAGGAGTGAAATCAATGAGGTCATTCATTTGCAAAGGAGCTACCACAACCATCATTTTCTTAATCCGCATGTCTCTCAGAATGTCTGAAATGGTATTTTAGCCGACTAGAATACCAAGAGAGAATATTACTTCGAATATATATGTTTATCAGTAAGTATCGTGCACATATTTGAGTAGTTTTGGCATTCTGGGAATCTGATAAAAATTGTGAACCTTATTTAATACATGTTCTCACAATTGCATAAAATTGTGAAGAGAGGGCCTTAAAAATGATAGCTGGTAGATGAAAATGTGAAGGATCTTCTCTCAAAGACAGATATGTGAGACTCTTATGAGCGACAGAGTGGAAATCATGCGAACTTCAGAGCGCCTGAAAAACGAAGCAGCCAAACACTCCACTTTCAATTTGTTGCAACGTAGACGGCGGAGAAATAGTTCGTGCTCTTGACCAGGGAACAGACGAGAAGCAGGCGAGAGAGCATATATGCAAGCGAGGCGCAGACGACGCTATGTCGCCAACTGGACGGGGCTCGCGATGGACGGGAGGAGTCACGGAGCAGCTTTGGACCTTAGCGACTCTGCCTTCACGCTATAAAAAGCGGTAACAACCAGTACGCTCGGGTAGAATTGCCTACCTTCCCTGGATACTTTCCTCAAGTCGAGGTAACTGTGGAATGGGCCTTTGAGGCAATTAAACAGAACGAGTGACTGATTATGTTAAGTAAAAGTTGAAGGTTGACTTTCAGAGATGGAACTCACTCTTTCAAAAGCATCACGGATTATTGTATTGCTCGGCTCAACTTCAGGGTTTGAGCGAATATCACAAACTGAATAATCGGTGGTGCTCAGACATAGTAAAAATTTGACTATGTATGCCACCTCGGTGTTTTCCAAAGAGCTCGAGAACAATCTGAACATATGAAATAAATGCATAGAATCCGAATCGATCACAAAAGTGGTACAGTTTGAGCTTCTCAAATTGAGCAACAAGAAGGCAGGAAAGGAAGGACTGGAACCTACTCCGAAAACGGCCCATCAGCCCAAAGCCGACGTCTCACCGCCGTGGAAGCCAAATTTCGTTGGAACTGCAGATGGTTTGTCGATAGAAAGGCTCTTCTAAAACATTCTCTTTTTATTGGAAAATCGAATGCAAAAACACAAGCGACTCGTTCTGCCAACCCCAAATGAGGATCGAGCTTAAGAAAGGTGCATGGGAATTGTGCCAATAATTCGTCTTAAAACTGAGTAATCGAACCTATGTCGCTGTTGCTACGCTCTCCAAAGCCGTTCTTGTATCCTGGTCCGGTGGCGAAGAACATGGCGGGAACCCAATTCGTGACTTCTGTGATTGCGTTCTCCTCACGGTGCTGTACTTTTGAACTCTCTCTGAATATCGCTTTGTTAAACAAAGATAAACTTTGAAAGGATGCGTGGACTTTAGATTTCAGACGTAGTGGTAGTCAATGGTGTTTTATATCGGAACCATGCGCTGACTGAAGCAGGGAAACCACGGCGTTACACGGCAAACCACCTCCCCCCCAATAAGATCGGTTATTAGGATTCGAGTGTGATTCCCTGTATGATCCAGATTAGAACCGAGTATGAGACGGGTGGTGGATTCAGTGACGACAGAAATTACTTCACTAGGCCAAACTATTTCTACCCAGCAGTCAGATCGACCACAAGGTCGTATAGAATGGCCTCTCTTTCTAGGAAAGCTACCTCACTTAAGCTAAAGGGAGCGGTTATGATAAAGACATCACGGAACTATTTGCGCTCCCGAAATCAATGGCCATGCAGTCAATGAAGCGATCAGTGGCAGTACCGATGAAAGGTGGCTTATTTGCAGCGCAGTTATGTTCCAATGTTAGAAAACCGTGATGCCCAAAGCCGCTCAACCCACTGGATTAGTTGGCTCTGTGTTGCTAAAAGACGCATACCTCGCCTTCGTTTTGACTAGGTATCTAATTGACCAGCCATCGAGGTAACACGCCAAACGACCTCTTTTCATCGGCCGACCTCACAGATGGTCGAAATCATCAGGCAATAGGGAATCGTATTATTCACAAATCTCTTATTTTGCCGCTGGCACGCCATTTAACATACCCACATCCTCTTAGTCGTCCACAATTTATCGTAACACTCCCCTTAGGCCCAATACATAGGCCTAGCTGAAAAGTAATTCTAAATCGTTACTGCTATGGCTGAAATAAGCTATCATACTAAAAACGCCGTATTCAACCGAGAAGCATCTGAACGACGCGCTGAAAAGAAAGCTTGCCAACAGGCTGATTCATGCTTTACGACTATGCCGCTGCAGAGAAAAAAAAAACAAAATATTTACCAAAAAGCGTTTCGCTGGTCGGCAGGTATCCTGGAAGTGTGAGGGCATGGCCATGATCCGCTGTGACGATGATTAAGGTGTCATTCGGATTCGTCATTCCACGTGCCTGCAAAGCTTCTTGCACGAAGTGATCACGATTTTGCAGGCCGCTTGCTCTCTTATTCAATACACTACACTGGTGTGCAAAACTTTAGGGACGAACGTAGCTTTTCCAACGACGTGTTACTGGCGCGTAACATGACTCTATGGAACCTAACCACATACAAAGAGCTGTCCAGGGCACTAAAGAAAGCAGTTAACAGGAACCGTTAAACGGTCCACAAAGCTATCAAAAGGTTATGATACTTCATCTGTCTCGTCCTTAAGTTTTGCACACCAGTGTACTAATGGCACTTACAGTAGGATTCTAGAAAAGAGAGAACTCAATAAGGAGATTCGCAATGATAAAAAAAAGTCGATTCCGGTGCGACTTCATCAGTCAACAACGCCAGTCATCCTTTCCCACTTGATCATCTGTACAAGGCTTGTGTAAGGATTGGGCATTGCTAGAGGCCCCCCCTTAAAATTAATTGAGCAGGTTTCAGGTCCAGTTCTAACGATGAGCGAATGCCTTCTGGCATGGAAGTGATGCCACGGCTCACCTGAAAGATTATAATTATGATTAATGCTACGCCTATTTTTTCGGACCATTCATTCAAGAAGAAATTACGGTTATCTCTATATTAAATTACTAGTCTATAGTTTTTTTGGCCACCAGACTAGTGTATCGAAGGAGTACATTTGAGTTGCCATTAGAAATTCTGCCAACTTCAAATGGAAATATATATGAATTCGCGCACTCATTGATGAAAGGGAGTTATTCATTATGACATGCCCTACCTTATCCTTTTGTTACTCTTAGACTCACCACTCGGATAGCTTCCCAAATTCGTACACTTCGGACAGACGCCATGTGCATACCATTCTCAGTGCTCGAGCCCATGTCATCACCCACGACTGTAAAATAATAGTATTGACGAGAAGTAAGCGATCCAGAAAAATGCTTGCCAAGCGTCGGAACCAACTAATACCTTCAACCACTAAGAAGAATCCCTGATCGTCTCGTTGGAGCACCTCAATAGCTTTCTCGGTCATTTCGCGAAGTCTTGGCACGGTCCTTTTATTCTCCATTCTCTCACTTAGATAGTAAGGAAAGTGTGACTCTGAGAAGATGCCTGAAATGTTTCCGATTCAGAATTTGTGCGGTCATTCCTGCTCTGAAGGAACTGCGCATATGGAAATACTTTTCCTAGTATTCCAATTCGTTATATTCAAGTTACATTCCAATGATTTGAGCCTTACCGAGCAGCTTCTCATCATTTGCCGCATTCACTTGAGCCAGATCGGATGGCGTTCGCAGAATCTTTCGGCTGCCACCAAGACGCTGCCACTCGAGGTCAATGTTCGTTCCGTCCCCACGAGATCCATTTCGCGACTTCTCCATCAGGTAGCTACTCCCTCCACCCATCAACACCTGCAACGAAATTGTTATCTAATTATGGTAACGCTCTGTTCTGTCTAGAGTTAATGGTAAGGGACAATTAAGATCACGCCCAACCATTAAACTTGCCAGAATTCGTTCAAATTGTTACGGATTCGCGGAGGCGTTGATGTTCTCCTCCAGTTCAAGGTTACCAGGAATGCGCGCACTCAGCCCAAGGTAAGACCTAGGCTTCAGCGTCACACTGGCTTATGCTTGAGCCTAACTAGCTAGCCCCCCCGTTACTTTTTGGGCTTAGATTAGGCCGCTGCGATAATGAGAGTATTACTGGTCTCAGGTGGCTTGAATTGAGGAGAACAAGTGATATACACCACTTTTGCACCTATTCTCCACTCTAGGCCAATCTCAGTGATCATTATTTAGAAGGCTCAAAAATTTGTTGAATACGCATTGCAAAGGCACCTTGAACTCGGAAGCCGGATAAGAAAGCAACTGCTTCGCAATGTCCCTCGCACAACGTACGCTGGCCTCGTCGTACTCTGCGTCTCGTTCGACTCCTAAAATCATTTGAAAAAAAATCTCTCTTAAAAAAATTTTTTTTTTTTTTTTTTTTTTTTTTTTTTTTTTTTTTTTTTTTTTTTTTTTTTTTTTTTTTTTTTTTTTTTTTTTTTTTTTTTTTTTTTTTTTTTTTTTTTTTTTTTTTTTTTTTTTTTTTTTTTTTTTTTTTTTTTTTTTTTTTTTTTTTTTTTTTTTTTTTTTTTTTTTTTTTTTTTTTTTTTTTTTTTTTTTTTTTTTTTTTTTTTTTTTTTTTTTTTTTTTTTTTTTTTTTTTTTTTTTTTTTTTTTTTTTTTTTTTTTTTTTTTTTTTTTTTTTTTTTTTTTTTTTTTTTTTTTTTTTTTTTTTTTTTTTTTTTTTTTTTTTTTTTTTTTTTTTTTTTTTTTTTTTTTTTTTTTTTTTTTTTTTTTTTTTTTTTTTTTTTTTTTTTTTTTTTTTTTTTTTTTTTTTTTTTTTTTTTTTTTTTTTTTTTTTTTTTTTTTTTTTTTTTTTTTTTTTTTTTTTTTTTTTTTTTTTTTTTTTTTTTTTTTTTTTTTTTTTTTTTTTTTTTTTTTTTTTTTTTTTTTTTTTTTTTTTTTTTTTTTTTTTTTTTTTTTTTTTTTTTTTTTTTTTTTTTTTTTTTTTTTTTTTTTTTTTTTTTTTTTTTTTTTTTTTTTTTGGGGGGGGGGGGGGGGGGGGGGGGGGGGGGGGGGGGGGGGAGAGAGATTTAGTTTTTCATTTAAATGGTTTTTAGGAGTGAACGAGACGCAGAGTACGACGAGGCCAGCGTACGTTGTGCGAGGGACATTGCAAAGCAGTTGCTTTCTTATCCGGCTTCCGAGTTCAAGGTGCCTTCGCAATGCGTATTCAACAAATTTTTGAGCCTTCTAAATAATGATCACTGAGATTGGCCCAGAGTGGAGAATAGGTGCAAAAGTGGTGTATATCACTTGTTCTCCTCAATTCGCCACCTGAGACCAGAATACTCCTGATTAATCGCAGCGAGCTATCTAAGCCAAAGCTTAACCGGGGGGGGCTTAGCTATGTTAGGACTCAAGCATAGCAGTGTGTACACTGTAAGCTAGGTTGCCTTGGCTTTAGTTTGCGGCAGTTCTGGTAACCTGACGCTAGAGGAGACCCGAACCCTCCCGCGAATCGCGTAACAATTGGAGAATGTCTGGCAAGTTTAATGTTGTGGGGTCGATCTTAATTGTCCCTTACCATTAACTCTAGACAGAACAGAGCGTTACCATAGTCAGATAACAATTTCGTTGCAGGTGTTGATGGGTGGAGGGAGTAGTTACCTGATGGAGAAGTCGCGAAATGGATCTCGTGGGGACGGAACGAACATTGACCTCGAGTGGCAGCGTCTTGGTGGCAGCCGAAAGATTCTGCGAACGCCATCCGATCTGGCTCAAGTGAATGCGGCAAATGATGAGAAGCTGCTCGGTAAGGTTCAAATCATTGGAATGTAACTTGAATATAACGAATTGGAATACTAGAAAAGTATTTCATATGCGTCAGTCCTCAGAGCAGGGATGAACGCTAATTCGGAAGTGATTGGAACATTTCGGCATCTTCTCAGAGTCACACTTTCCTTACTATCTAAGTGAGAGAATGGAGAATAAAAGGACTGTGCCAAGACTTCGCGAAATGACCGAGAAAGCTATTGAGGTGCTCCAACGAGACGATCAGGGATTCTTCTTAGTGGTTGAAGGTAGACTGGTCGCCGCTGCCAGCATATGTCTTCTGGGTCGCCTTACTTCTCCAGTCAATACTATTATTTTGCAGGTGGGTTGATTGACATGGCTGAGCACGAGAATTGGATGCACATGGCGTTTTCCGAAGTGTACGAGTTTGAGGAAGCTATCCGAGTGGTGAGTTTTAGGAGTAAAAGATAGAGGGTAGAGCTCGGAATGAATAACTCCCTTCATCAATAAGCCGCGAATTCTATTTTCATTTGAAGTTGTGCAGAATTTCAATGCAACCCAAATGTTACCTCCTTCGAACACTAGTCTGGTGCCAAAAAACTATAGGACTAGAAGTTTGAACTATAGAAGAAGATTTCTCTTTGAAATGAATGGCTCGAAAGAAAGGGCGTCGCTAATATAATATTATATCTTCATGAGTGAGCCGTGGCTCGACTTCCATCAGAGGCATTCGCTTCATTAGAAGCATGGCCCTGAAGCCTGCTCCATACTTTTAAGGGTTGGGTGCCTCTAGCGAATGCCAATCTAAACAGCTTTGGTAGCAGATTGCTCAAGTGTGAAAGGATACTGGGTTGTTGACCTGATGAATTCGCAAGCGGACTCGACTTTTTTTTATCATTGCGATCTCCTTATATTGATCTCACTTTTCCATTTCCTTAAAAGGCCCTCATCTATTACACTGGTGTGCAAAACTTGAGGACGAGACAGTTTAAGTATCATAACCTTTTCTTAGCTTTGTGACCGTTTAACGGTTCTGTTAACTGTTTCTTTAGTGCCCTGTGGCAGCTCTTTGTATGTGTGGTTAGGTTCCATAGAGTCATGTTCCGCGCCAGTAACGTCGTTGAAAACCTACATTCGTCCCTAAGTTTTGCACACCAGTGTAGTATTATTGATAAGAGACAAGCGGCCTGCAAATCGTGATCCTTCGTGGCAGAACCTTGGCAGCACGTGAATGACGAATCGAGATGACACCTTAATCTCGTCCAGCGTATGACATGCCTCACACTTCAGGATACCTGCCGACAGCGGAAACGCTTTTGGTAAATATTTGTTTTTTTTTTCTCTGGAGCGGCATAGTCTTAGTAATCCGCCTGTTGGAATGCTCCTTTTCACGCATCGTTCAGTGCTTCTGGTGATACGGCGTTTTAGATGATAGCTATTTCGCATACAGAACGATTTAGAATTATTTTCAGGTAGGCCTATGTATGGCCTAAGGGAGTGTTACGATAAATTGTGGACGACTAAGAGGATGTGGGTATGTTAAATGGCGTGCCAGCGGCAAAATAAGAGATTTGTGATAATACGATTCCCTATTTGCCTTTCGATTCGAGCATGACGTGGTGTCGGCCGAAGAAGAGGTCGTTTGGGCGTGGTTACCTCGATGAGTGGCATCAAAATTAAGTTACCTATTCAACGAAGGCGAGGTATGCGTCTTTTAGCAACACAGAGCCAACTAATCCAGTGGGTTGAGCGGCTTTGGGCATCACGGTTTTCAACATTGGAACGTAGCTGCGCTGCAAATAAGCCACCTTTCATCGGTACTGCCACTGATCGCTTCATTGACTGCATGGCCATTGATTTCGGGAGCGCAAATAGTTCCGTGATGTCTTTATCATAACCGCTCCCTTTAGCTTAAGGGAGGTTAGCTTTCCTAGAAAGAGAGGCGCATTCTGAACTCCTTGTGGTCGATCTGACTGCTGTGGGAGAAATAGTTTGGCCTAGTGAAGTAATTTCTGTCGTCACTGAATCCACCACCCGTCTCATACTCGGTTCTAATCTGGATCATACAGGGAATCACACTCGAATCTTACTAACCGATCTTATTGGGGGGGGGAGTGGTTTGCCGCGTAACGCCGTGGTTTCCGTGCTTCAGTCAGCGCATGGTTCCGATATAAAACACCATTGATAACACTACGTCTGAAATCTAAAGTCCACACATCCTTTCAAAGTTTATGCTTTGTTTAACAAAGCGATATTCAGAGAGTTCAAAAGTACAGCACCGTGAGGAGAACGCAATCACAGAAGTCACGAATTGGGTTCCCGCCATGTTCTTCGCCACCGGACAGGATACAAGAACGGCTTTGGAGAGCGTAGCAACAGCGACATAGGTTCGATTACTCAGTTTTAAGACGAATTATTGGCACAATTCCCATGCACCTTTCTTAGCCGATCCTCATTTGGGTTGGCAGAACGAGTTCGCTTGTGTTTTTGCATTCGTTTTCCAATAAAAAGAGAATGTTTCAGAAGAGCCTTTCTATCGACAGCCATCTGCAGTTCCAACGAAATTTGGCTTCCACGGCGGTGAAGGACGTCGGACTTTGGGCTGATGGGCCGTTTTCGGAGTAGGTTCCAGTCCTTCCTTTCCTGCCTTCTTGTTGCTCAATTTGAGAAGCTCAAACTGTACCACTTTTGATGATCGATTCGGATTCTATGCATTTATTTCAATATGTTCAGGTTGTTCTCGAGCTCTCTGGAAAACACCGAGGTGGCATACATAGTCAAATTTTTACTATGTCTGAGCACCACCGATTATTCAGTTTGTGATATTCGCTCAAACCCTGAAGTTGAGCCGAGTAATACAATAATTCGTGATGCTTTTGAAAGAAAGTGAGTTCCATCTCTGAAAGTCAACCTTCAACTTTTACTTAACATAATCAGTCACTCGTTCTGTTTAATTGCCTCAAAGGCCCATTCCACAGTTACTCGACTTTGAGGAAAGTATCCAGGATGAAGTAGGCAATCTACGGCGTCTGGTTGTACGCGCTTTTATTCGCGTGAAGGCAGAGTCGCTAAGAGTCACAAAAGCTGTGCCATGACATTCCGCCGTCCATCGGCGAGCCCCTCGTCCAGTTGGCGACATAGCGTCGTCTGCGCCCTCGCTTGCATATATGCTCTCTCGCCTGCTTCTCGTCTCTTCCCTGGCCACAGCACGAACTATTTCTCCGCCGTCTACATTGCACAAAGTGAAAGGGGACTGTTCGACTGTTTCGGTTTTTTCAAGCGCTGAATCTGCGCATTATTCCCCTGTCTTCTCTATAATGAGTCTCACAGTTCAAATCTCCGAGGAAGATCTTTCACTTCATCTACAGCTTCATTTTTAAGCCCCTCTGTCACATTTTGCAATTGTGGAAAGTGTTTACATAAGAGTTTCACAACTTTTTATTGAATTCAAGATGCCAGTCTCTCAAATATATGCACGAGATTTACTAATACAACAACATAATTCGAAGTAATTTCTCTCTTGTGTATTCTAGTCGGGCTATAAATACGATTTCAGGCATTCTGGAGACATTCGGATTGAGAACTGTGGTTGTGGTAGCCGTCATTTGCATGATGACCTCGGTGATTTCGCTCCTCATCGCCGCTTTGCTCGCCTCTGTGGTTTACCTTCAGAACAAGGGCACTTCTCTTCCTTTGAAGCAAGTGTTTAGTGGATAAACACAACAAACGGGTGCAGGTCATTCGCTCATGCGAGACCTGAACATTTTCATATCATGTGCCTTACAGTTCTCATAATTTGATGAAAAGGATGTGTAGTTCTTGCTCCAGAAATGCGCAGCAGTTTTGAAAGCCGGTGGACAATTTTAGGGCACCATCCCTAATTCACTATTGTGGCAACGTGTTCGAGATAACTCAAAAACAGGCCGTTCTCTAAAATTGATCATCAATTACGCGTTGTCCGGTCACGAATCGGTACGGTAACTTTTGTTTTAATTTTATCGTGTATACATGCGGCTGGAGCACGCGCTACACATCCTGTGGAACCATACTAATACTTGTACATCAGTTCATTTCCTTCTGTGCCATTCCGCGAATACTAATTGCTTATATCTGATCTTGTGTTATTTAATCGATAAATTGATCTCGGTGATAGACACATCATGTGAATATGTTGAACGTTATTGAAGAAAACAGGGAGTAGATTCGCAACTTTTTGTACATACAGTAGCGGTCAAGTGTTCGCTAAAACGGGTTTCGTTGCATTTCATTAGAATTTTATTGCGCTATTTAATATGCCTTCAGGTTGTTCTCGAGCTCTCTGGAAAACTACCGAGGTGGCATACATAGTCAAATTTTTACTATGTCTGAGCACCACCGATTACTCAGTCTGCGATATTCGTTCAAATCCCTGAGATTGAACCAAGTAATACAGTGACTCACGATGCTTTTGAAAGAAGTGAGTTCCATTTGTGAAAGTCAACCTTCAACTTTTACGTAACATAATCAGTCACTCGTTCTGTTTAATTACCTCAAAGGCCCATTCTACAGTTACTCGACTTAGTGCGTTACGTCCAATTGAACTCTTTGTCCTCCGTAAATCTTAACTAAACTACCACCGTAACACTTCGTAAACTCTGATGAGCACAGAGGGAGGAGACTTTACTTGTTTAGGTCTCCGTCTAAGGGTCACGTGCGAAACGGAGACTAAACGACTTCTTTGCTCACCACCCCTTCAAATATATGCAAAAATTGAAGAATATCGTTGAAATTTCGAGTTTAAACATCGTAATCAAGATATAATAATAAGATAAGATATATAAGTTGCAACTTCATTCCTCACTCTCACACTCACTCCTTCATCTGGAGCCCACATCGGAACAGTCATCCGGGTGCAAGATCTCTCACAGCGCACTCGCTCTCACTCACCGCGATAGGCCGGGCATCGTAAGCCTCCATCAACAGCTTCCGCTTGACTCCCCTCCTGTCGTTTCTGTAATTGAGCCATGGCGTCGTCGCGCTTCGCTGGAAAAGCTATATTCGTCCTACGTTTTGCACACCAGTGTAGTGTATTGAATAAGAGAGCAAGCGGCCTGCAAAATCGTGATCACTTCGTGCAAGAAGCTTTGCAGGCACGTGGAATGACGAATCCGAATGACACCTTAATCATCGTCACAGCGGATCATGGCCATGCCCTCACACTTCCAGGATACCTGCCAACCAGCGAGACGCTTTTTGGTAAATATTTTTTTCTTTGCAGCAGCTTAGTCGTAAAGCATGCATCAGCCTGATGGTGCATTTCTTTTCCAGCGCGTCGCTCAGATGCTTCCCGGTTGAATACGGCGTTTTTAGTATGATAGCTTATTTCAGCCATAGCAGTAACGATTTAGAATTACTTTTCAGCTAGGCCTATGTATTAGGCCTAAGGGCAGGTGTTACGATAAATTGTGGACGACTAATGTAAGAGGATGTGGGTATGTTAAATGGCGTGCCAGCGGCAAAATAAGAGATTTGTGAATAATACGATTCCCTTATTTGCCCGTTATTTCCGACCATGCGTGAGTGTCGGCCGAGAAAGAGGTAGTTTGGGCGTGTTACCTCGATGGCTGGTATCAAGCCACCAGACACAGTGCTTTGATGTGAAGTGCCTTTTCCAAATGAAAGAGAGGTATGCCTCTTCTAGCCATTTGGTGACCAAATCACCAACTTACCCGGGGAGGACCGGTTTTGGGCGTCACGGTTTTCAACATTGGAACCTAGCTGCGCTGCAAATAAGCCACCTTTCATCGGTACTGCCACTGATCGCTTCATTGACTGCATGGCCACTGATTCCGGGAGCGCAAATAGTTCCGTGATGTCTTTATCATAACCACTCCCTTTAGCCCAAGGCAGGTTAGCTTTCATAGAAAGAGAGGCGCTTTCTGAACTCCTTGTGGTCGATCTGACTGCGGTAGGAGAAATAGTTAGGCCTAGTGAAGTAATTTCTGTCGTCACTGAATCCACCACCCGTCTCATACTCGGTTCTAATCTGGATCATACAGGGAATCACACTCGAATCTTAATAACCGACCTTATTGGGGGAGGTGGTTTGCCGTGTTGCGCCGTGGTTTCCGTGCTTCAGTCAGCGCATGGTTCCCGATATAAGACACCATTGACTGCCACTACGTCTAAAATCTAAAAGTCCACATCCCTTTTAAAGTTTATGCTTAGTTTAACGGAGCGATATTCAGAGAGTTCAAAAGTACAGCACCGTGAGGAGAACGCAATCACAGAAGTCACGAATTGGGTTCCCGCCATGTTCTTCGCCACCGGACCAGGATACAAGAACGGCTTCGGAGAGCGTAGCAACAGCGACATAGGTTCGATTACTCAGTTTTAAGACGACTTATTGGCACACTTTCCCGTGCTCGTTTCTTAGGTTTCGGCCCTCATTTGGGTTGGCAGAACGAGTTTACTTGCTTCATTTGCATTCATTTTTCAAATAAAAAGAGAATGTTTCAGAAGAGCCTTTCTATCGACAGCCATCTGCAGTTCCAACGAAATTTGGGTTCCACGGCGGTGAGGACGTCGGACTTTGGGCTGATGGGCCGTTTTCGGAGTAAGGTTCCAGTTGATTTTAGTGTTTTTGTTGCTCCCCCTGAGAAGCCCAAGTTA